CCCGAAGGCGCAAGGGTTGTTCGTGACACCTTGTCAAATTTATTTTTGACAAATATATGTACTTCTTTTTTAATGTTCTAAAATAATTTTTTGAATATCTAAAATTTTTTATATATTTTAAAATCTTTTTTAATTCTTTTAACATTAAAAATCATAAAATTTAATATTTAATATTAAATATATTAAAATTAAAAAATATATTTTTAAATTTTATAAAAATTAATATATAGTAAATATTTTGAGACGAAAAAAATATATAAAGAGGAAACGGAGTAAGTGGTGCAACATTTTCTGGGGCGTGAGAGAGAATATGGTCCCGATGCTCCAATTAAAGCGAGTCAAACGAGCATTAGTGATAGAAATGGGACATTTGAGGGGATGCGAACCAAAAGAATTGTCAAATCGAACTCAAAAGTAGACCCCTCCTCTTTGCATTATTATAAGTTAGGTGGTTCCATGACATTCTCTTTTGGTTACAATTGGTGCCCCAATTAAATATTTGGTAAGGTCGATTTAATTCCCTTTATCCACCCCCCTCACAACAATGATTGCTTCATGCATTCATTCATGCACTCTCCCAAAATATACTAGAAAACACAACCATTGAACATTAATTTCTCGTGAAGTCATTCTCAGGCTTTACTAATAATTAGTTTAGCTAATTATATTTTTTCGTATTTCAATAAAAAAAGAGCTTTAATCATAAATATATATATGTCTAGATTTATGTACTCAATTTGATTGGACTAAGATTTAAATACTTTTTTAATTTTAAAATATTTGTCATATATTATTTTTTACGAAATTTATTTTTTTTATTTTCATGTATTTTATTTTTTTTATAAAATTAAAATTTCATGATATTTTGTGTCATAAAAATAAAAAATAATTTTATAATATAAAAAAGGTAAGAGCTTTAGATATTCGAAAAATGAAATAAGATATTATTTTGAAACATATCAATAAGAAAAAAATAGATTAAAAAAAAAAAGAGACAGAAGAAGTATAATTTTTTAAGTCTAAATTTGACTTTATTACAATATTTTATTAATAAATAATATATTTTTATATAATTTTAATTTTAAAATATAATATAAAATATTAATATTTATTAATTAAATAATATGCAAATTATCGTGTTAGACCAGGCTCATGTTTTGACATTAAAAAAAAATCGTAAGGACAAATCTAATGAGAAAGATAGGGTGTTTATTAATATATTATAAACTAAAAAATAAAAAATTTAATGAAAAATTTTTCTCTAAAACTTCAAAAAAAATTTCAAGACACTTTTTTCATCAACGAATTTCATGAATTTATTATTAATTATATATATATATATATATTATAAGTAAACATTAAAAAACAAAAAAAAGGTCCACCTTTTAGCTTTGGACTTGGCCGCATTATAACATTCCTAATATCAAGAAGTTAGTTTTTCAATGTAGATAGATTAATTGTGGCACTAAAAAAAATTGGAATAATTACACGAAACACGTGTGTATCACAAAAATAAAAAAATAATGAAATACCACATATTAAATCATAAAAGAGGAAACGACAACAATTGAATGAAACCAAACCACATGAGGAAAAATAATAGGAAAAAAAAAAAAAAGAAATTTGGCAATACGTTAGCCATTTCTTTGTAACGCATTTCACATGCAAAATGCTTTGAAATGAAGATGCGATATATATTACTTTAAAAAATAAAGCAACTTTTAGTCTTTTACACTATTCTGTCCTTTTCTTTTAAAGGGAAAGGAAACTAAAGAAATACTTAAATACAATAAAGTAGAATTATATTCTTTTGCTCTTTTTTTATATATTTTTTTATTTGTTCAAAAAGTTGTTTTTTAGAATTTAAATATCTTTTTTTTTAGTATTAAAAAATATGAAATATCAATTTTTTATAGAATAAAATTTTAATATTAGATACTAAATTAATTTTTTAAATATAGTAAAAAGTAATAAAAAATAATAAATGAGAAACAATGAGTAATAATTTTGAAAAACTAAAAAATTAAAAAAAAGAGTAAAAAAATAAATGATTAATATCACGAATGATACTTAAAAGATAATAAAATGTTTGTTTTGATTCTTAAATTTTAAAAATTTTTAATATGATATTTGATTTATAAATTTATTAATTAATATAATATTTAAAAATTTATTTATTTGTCATATATTATTATTTAGATTAATAATTTAAATATTACATGAAAATTTTTTAAATATCAAATATCATTTTAAATATTTTATTATAATTTAAAAATTATTCATAAAATTAATTCAAAAATAAAATCCGCAGTTGATGATGGTACCTGTGCGCGGTACAAACTTTTGCATACAAAACTTATGCTGATTTCCCGCTTTCCTCTTGGCTTCTCGCTGCTCACAAAAGAATAATGGAATGAGCTGCAAAAAAGTTGTCTACGGGCGGGACCACCTGGGGACCAGACCTTTACCCTCATTACTTAACACGTGTCGGAGAGAGAGAAAGCAGGGGTCCACCGGATCCAACCCCCAAATTTGACAGACATCTTGTTGCGTTGTGTGCCGACTCTCTTCTATCGTCTCTCCCGCACGTGAATCATCCCTTTCATTTTACTCCCAACCTTTTTCAGCTTTTTCAAAATTTCAACTTAAAAAAATTTTGAATATTAAGTTTCAATAATAAACAATTTGATTTTTTTAAAATAAAATTTTAGTTTTAAATTATATGAATAAAAAAATTTATCTTCTTATAAAATTTGATTCGATTCGATTTTAAATTAATTAAAATTTAAAATATCATCAAATACAAAAAATAAAAAAAAATAGTGAAATGTATGAGCGAATTGTTATTTTTTCATTCTATAATTTTGATTTAAAACTAACAACTTTGCATATATGTAAAAAAATAATAATAGTGTTTTTTAGAAAAATAATAGTACTTTGTTTTTAAAACACTTGTTAATATTGTTAACAATGACACTTAATATATCTATAATTTATTTTTTATTTTCAAGTTTGATTTATTTTTACAAAAAAATTTGATCATTTAGATAATTATTCATTTTTATTAAAACTAATATAATTAGAGTAAAAGTAACACCTTTTCTTAAAATTGAAAGCAGCTCTTATTTTGTTCCAGTCTCATACATATAAATAAATAAATATATATATTTCTCATATATATTTTAATGCGTATTTTTTTTAATTTTTTTATAGTTTAAAAATACAAAAATTATAAATATGAAAATTTATATTCAAATTTATTTAATGGCTTTTTTTAATAATATTTACATGAATCAATATATTAAATATTACAATTATTATTTTCACTTTAAAATAAATTATTGATCTAAAAAAAAAATATGTTGCATGCTGTTTAGATGATGCATTCAACATTAAAACTAACAAAAACTAAAATACTAAAATTTGGATTAAAAATCTCTTATTTTAAACAAGGTATTTCCAAAATTGAAAGGAGGGTGTTCTCATCATGACAAAATCTTTTCTTTTCTTATTTAATAATAAATTTAAAAATAATTAAAAATAATAATCATTTGAATTGTATTTAATTTAATTTAATTTTTTAAATAATATATAATATTATTTAATTTTTAAATTTAATTTAAATTTAAATTAATTTCTTTTAAATCGACTCGATTAGAATTAAATTATATCTTAATAAAATTATCAATTTTTAAAACTTGTTTTTTTAATATTATTTTAATATAAATTTTTTGTATTTAAATAAATTCATATATATAATAATTATTTTTTTATAAAAATTTAAAAATATATAAAATTAATAAAAATATATAATTTAATATGATTTATTTTTTAAATTTTTAAATTTTAATTTAAAATTTAATCAAAATTTAATGTTTAAATTTAATTCGAATTAAATAAAAAAATTCAAATTAAACTCAAGATTATAATTTTAAATTAATTTTTTAATTTTTTCAATACTCTTTTACACGCTGAAAATCACGTACAAGTAATGACCAAAGTGACGCAAGTATGCAATAAAGACTAAGGCGGGAGGGGGGGACCCAACTAGCTAGCTGACAGGTTGAGTCACCGGGACCGCTGCATTTGGTTGGAACAGGTATCAGTATTTCAATCAACCGGCTCTCATTAATCCTCACCACTTCAACTAAACGAAAACTAATTCCTGAAATACTGAAACACCACCCTTATGGTAGTCTGCACCTAAACCCTTAGCTCTGCTTTTGTCATCATTCACTATCTCTGACAATATGGGATTTATGATGCACTATTGTAGCTACGGTGCACCATCGCCCCAATTTTGATTTCTTGCATCCCTTCTTCTTTTGCACTGATTGTGGTCCCACTCTTCAGGACTGATATAAGATAAAGGATTCCAAGTAAAACTATCATCGCACGCCATCAGTTTTTAATAATCAACGGTGCTCATCATAATTTATATTAATATTTTAAATATAAAATTTATTTTATTTTATTAAAAATTTAAATTCTATTATTTTTTTAATATGTTTAAAATTATAGATATAATTTTTTATCTCCACTTTTGAATAAAAAAAGCACTAAAAGTAAAGGGGGAAAGGAAACTATGCATCATTTGTCAGTTTCATAGTCCAATTGTAATTTTCGACTGAAAATTTCTTTGGCAATGACTTACAACTTGAGGTGCGATGCATGGAATAATTTGGTGGAAAATATAGCTCCATGCTTTCATCATTTACATCAATTAATCTCTGCCGTAGCCTGTCTAATACAACAACTCTCTAAGAAAAGCCTTTCTAAAAATGAAAACAGAAAAACTCTAATGTCACCTTGGAAAGCACACGCAAAACTTCTCCTATAGCCTTCTCGCTCGTTCCCCTCTTCGGACCACCACGTCAACCTTTCAAATCCTGTTCACATTTGAACCCAATCCGCCCGTTCCACGTGGATCTCTTTGACGTTGACATCTCTGTTTTTACATCTGTCACCTCCTCTCCAAACACCCCCTATAAATACCTTCCTCACTCCCTCACCTCTTAGAGAGTCTCTAGCTGCAAGCTGTTTTGGTGTCTGACCTTTGCCCTTTACTTTTATTTTACCCTTCGATATGGCTTCTATTTACCACCTAGCCACTCTCTTGTTCCTCTGTTTAATCCATCTTTCCTTCTCTGAGTTAGTTCAAGAGCAACCTCTCGTGTTAAAGTACCACAACGGTCCACTCCTAAAGGGGAAAATCACCGTTAATCTCATCTGGTACGGGAAGTTTACTCCCATCCAACGGTCCATAATCGTCGATTTCATCAACTCTTTGAGTTCCGACGAGGCCACACTCCCTTCCACATCATCATGGTGGAAAATTACCGAGAAATACAAGGGAGGAGGTTCATCCAACTTAGCTCTAGGCAAACAAATCCTCTTCGAAAATTACCCACTCGGTAAAATCCTTAAGAACCCACATTTGCCAGCCTTGGCCAGCAAATTTAACGGCGTCAATACCATCAACATCATCCTCACGGACAAAGACGTTGCCGTCGAAGGCTTTTGCATGAGGTGCGGGACACACGGATCAATCCGGCTTGGCCGAGGTCCGATTCGTGGGACTTTTATCTGGGTAGGAAACTCCGAGACTCAGTGTCCTGGTCAATGCGCCTGGCCATTTCACCAGCCTATTTACGGACCCCAAACCCCTCCTCTAGTTGCTCCCAACGGAGACGTTGGAGTTGACGGAATGATCATCAACTTGGCCACCCTTTTGGGTAACACCGTTACCAATCCGTTTAACAATGGGTATTTCCAGGGGCCAGCCAACGCACCGTTAGAGGCGGTTTCAGCTTGCACTGGTATGTTCGGGTCGGGTTCGTACCCCGGATATCCGGGAACTCTCCTTTTGGAGAAGAGTACCGGGGCGAGCTACAATGCGAACGGGATTAACGGAAGGAAATACTTGTTGCCGGCGATGTGGGATCCACAGACATCAATGTGCAAGACCCTTGTATAATTGTACACGTGGCGGAAATCAATGGTGAATGGAGATGATGGTACACGTGGCACAGATGTATATAGTTGGGGTAAATGTACGGCGGAGGGAAGTAGGCCTTTTGTTTGTTGTCGTTTTGCGTGACGTGTAAATTCTACGTAGTTTTGTATAAAAAAAAAAAGAAAGCGGTGTGGACTTAGCGAAAGGAAATGTGAATGTGAGATAATAATGAAAATATTAAAGATGTGAAAGTTTGTTTCTACTTTTTGGGCTCTTGATTTAATTTGTCTGTTTTAAATTTGTTTTGAACGGTTGAGGATAACATCTTAAAAGAAATAGGGCCGAGGGGATTTTTGAAGATTTAGATAATTTTAAACACGGTGAATAATTATATTAAAAAAATGAAAAAAAAATTGAGCTTAATTGATTAATGAGATTAATGGATTCAAGTTTAAGCACGAGGTACATGCATCTTAACCTAAGAAAATGAGAGAGGGATTGATGTGACCAAACTCAGTTATTGGCAGAAGCGAAAGGAAAAACCCAGTTCACGGGAAGGAAAGAAGTGTCACCTGTGTCTTTAACACTTTCTTTTTTATAATGAAAAAGCGTAATTCATTGCATCTGGAAGGGTCCCTCCTATAGGAGTGAAACGCTTGTGAATGGTGGTAATGACATGTTTTGGTCAGTTACATAAAAAGTTGTTCCCATTGAAGGAGTGTTGATTTCATAAATGTTTCAGAATAGTAGAGGATGGGACCACATTATCAATAGAGGACTTCAAGTTCAGAGCAATCAAGCAGCTCATGCACCATATCCACTCTAATCCATTACATGTGGAAAAGTAGCTGCATCTGCTTTTTTCTTTTTCTTTTTTTAATTTATTTTTTCACTTGCAAAGAAGCATGCTTTTGTTAATAGGAGAATCTTTTTTTTTTTCTTTTTGATTTGCTAAAAAATGAATTCAAATTCAGATCTTCCTGAAAAGTTAGCAAAAAAATATTTACGCATTACTGAATTAAATATTTCAAATGATAATTTTTTAATCTAACTATGACTCCCATTCTTAGGAGCAAATTTGTCACAATTTCTTTTTTTTTTTTTTTTATAAAAGAAACTGTAAAACTTAAAAAAAATGATTGTAAATCTACTTTAAAATTAGATCATGTAAAGCGATTATGTTCTATAATATTTCTACAATGAGAAAGAAGAACCTCCAAATTCATAACTTTCAAATATTTAAATTTTTAACATGATATATAATTATTAGATAAGTTTAAATCTATTAATTCATGAGGAAGTCAACTTATTCACGAAGTTTGAAAGATTTGACTGACAGGACAAAAACGGAGTTGACCCTCTTCATAATATATAATGATAGCATATACTATTACTAACCATATTATTATTATTATTATTATTATTATTATTATTATTAAAACATATAATTCTTCATGGTTAAAAAAAATCTATTTTTTCAACGGTCTCAATTGCAATCAATCATTTATTTTATAGAATACTTCTGTTCCAAGGACCACCTTCAAACCCAACAAGAATAAAAATGGGTCCCTGTACATCAAACTTCTGATCCCATTACCAAGTTGGAGGCGTAGGCCGCGTATCAGTCGGCAATGCCTAGCCCCGAAACCATGGTTGCTGCCTGCTGATTTGCTAACAGCCTAACATTTGACTACTTTCAAGGTGTTGCAAATGGAAATGAATTATCCAAATTCTTAAATCTACTTCTGGTTTTTGAATTTAGAAACTGCTAAAAGAACCATTGAATTCTCAAGAATCGAGTAACAATAAAAAAAAATTCACCACAGAATTGAACTTAGCCAAAAAGGGGGCAGCTCAACATAATTGAAAAACATGAATTTAGGTGAGGCAACATTGGTAGTGCAAGAAACATATTGTGCAGAATTCACCATAAAAAAAACTAGACCACAATTCTTGCATAGTTTTGGGACATCAACCAAATCGACGGGGCAAAAGTAAATCCCTCGTAATCTACCCAAAACATAGCCCCAGAGAAAGCGGTTACCGAAAATATTTGGAATTACTACCATGGTCCAGGTATTTAATAATAGGGGTTGTAACGCGTTGCCATCCTCAACCTTGGAACCTTCCTGCAATTTATAGGATAAAGCTTAACATCCTTTCTTGACGTTGCAAGAACTTACTGACATATGACAAGGTAATCTGATAATAAGATGAAAAAACCATGGCTGCAAGACATACCCGTATCCATAAGGAGCAAAGAAATATGGAGCCATAAATGGACTCCTGGGTCGCATAAAAGGGTTGGACCGGCGTGGACGACATTGTTTCATCCCAGGAATATTGGTGCGCTTAGCAGTAACCTACAATGATATCAAGAGCACTGTGTTTAAATAGTTTAACAAATGGAAGTTTAAAGAGAAAAATCCAAGTCCATTGCTATTTTTCTTGGTGTACAAAAAGCAGTGTTTTTGTCTCAAAGAAAAAGAGTAGAAAGAATAAATAGAAAAAGCAAAGGAACTAAAATTTACCTTCAACTGCCTGCCACGTAGCTCAGATTCATTCAGAAGAAGAGCCTCTTGAACAGCCTCAGCTTCAAGGAACTCCACATAAGCATAACCTTTTGGCTGGCCATACTTGTCTGTACGAATAGTAACTCTATTTACGGTTCCACAAGACTGGAAATGCTGTTGAACTTCTTCAGGCGTACATGAATAATCCACCTGCATTCTCAGAATGTTTTAATATGTAGCCAGTAAACAGTGCACAACAGGATTTAAAAGAAAAAATTAATTAGAAACCAAGAGACAGTCATCATTACAACAAAACAGAGGCTAAACAGCAGACAAGGTCACTTGCAGCAAGTATCTACAAACTACTCACCTTGTTAAGAAAGGTCAGACCAGCCTGAAAAAAGACCAGGTCTTAGTTTCCATAGTTAAATAGCCAGTCTGCTCAGGAGTTTCTAATTAAGGAGCCAAACTAAAGAAGGAAATGGTTAAATCTTCTCAAGCAGTTAGCAATCACACAGGAAAGACGTTGTCGATAGATAGGATTGACACATTGATTAATGGTCTAATCACTATAACCTAAGTAAATATAGAAGGATTATAGTAATTAAGTTTGCATTCTAGAAGAAACTAATTTGATGCCACAGGCATCTCTAGGAAAGCTAGCAGTTAAAAGTAAAGGAAACAAACCTTTGTTCTCATTTCCTTTTTCCTTTTTCTTTACGGGGCAGGGGGTTTAAGACATAAGAATAAAGATTACTGGAAAGAAACCAGCGATCTCTACTTGTCCAAGCAATGAAATAAAAAGAGATCAAAGACCCCTCACCATAAGAAAGCAAGACACCTAGAAATTCCTCAACCATTGACCACCAGCAAAAGCAGCACTCTGAATTGCAAATAAGCCAGCAAATACCCACAGCTAGTCTTTTCTCTGCAAAGCACGTTCTTTCAACAGATTTGAGACCGATTTTCAGGAATCTTGAATCAAAATTTGTTCTCCATCCATCCCGACCAAGTAATCAAGTTAAACCAAGACAAGATTCTTTTACAATGCCAATGCCTTCTTTTTTTTTTCTTTTTTTCTTTTTTTTTTTTTTTGCTTTTTTCTTGCTATTTCAAGTAATGTCAATTGAAGGATTTTTGCAAAATCCTTGCTTTTATATATATTTTTTTAATTTTTTTTCTTTTCTCCTTCAGATTTTTTCTTTACTGAAAGGCTTCAAGTTTTCTTTCCTTCAAATTTTGACTCAAAAGTTAACACTCTTGTTTTTATCATCTCTCTTCAATCACATAAATATAGTATGGCCTGTATGTATCCTAGCTCAAGAACATTTATATCAGCTATTTTCACTCAACCCCTGAATTATTAAATCAGAAAACTTGAAGAATGAAGCTTCACCTGCAATTATAGTAAAAAATAAAGTCAACGAAGGATTCTAAACTGAGAAATCCTTCAAATGTTAAAGGCTCAAGCTTTACATCTAATAATGAAGGAAATGCTCACTTGGTGAAACAAGAAAGCAAATTGCAGCATTTCTAGTTTTCTACACAAGAGAAGTGAAAGGGAAAAAAGGTACAATAAGATAAAATACTTATTCCCATCTATTGAATTAAATCTGTTGTGTTATCACCATCATGAGTTAAATATGCCATAAATAGTAGGTAGTAAGGTTACCACATTATGACCCTCCTACTTAGCAATGCCATTACCAAAATCCTTGAATTTCAGATTTCAAAGACACTACTTGCTACTACAATAGTTACTAAAACCAAACCTTAAAAGTGTATCAACTTGATAAACTTTAGAAGGGCAGCACCCAAAATAAATAAATCCCAGTTCACTATGTCACAAATGAGGGATATGTGACCAAACTAAGGAAAACTAATTTGGAAAACCACATGAAAAGAAGCAAAGAGAAGAAAAACAAGAACAGTCCAAACACCTATTTTCACGAGAAAACATTTTATGACAATATAACTTACATCTTATAGAAAAGTTAACATTCTTAACATTTATTTTCCTTAATGTCATAATTTTTCCGCATCTTCATTTTCTTTCCTCAATAGAAACGTTATGCTCAGAACTGAAGCCAGAACCATATCAGAGACCACAAATATTTAATTAAAAGTGGTCAACATGACTCAGAAACTGAACTGGAGTTGATAATGAAAAGAAGCCATTTCAATGAACTCTAAACAACTAATAAACTCTGCATTAAATACTTATTATAACTTTCCAAAAGACTATCTAATTCAAGTTATAATTGATATTTTTTGTTATTCCCCATGCCTAGATGAGCATGTCAGGAAAATGTAGCCTTCCATGGATGGTTTCTTCATGCATGTAAAGCAACTCCTATACTAATATCACCCATACGAGACTCCAATATTATCCAGTAAGATGCTGCTGACTTTCCAAAAGACTGTCTAATTCAAGTTATAATTGATTTTTTTGTTCTTCCCCATGCCTAGATGAGCATGTCAGGAAAATGTAGCCTTCCATGGATGGTTTCTTCATGCATGTAAAGCAACTCCTATATTAATATCACCCATACGAGACTCCAATATTATCCAATAAGATGCTGCAGGGTTTTGGCTTTTAATCCAGTGTATCCACCTGATGCAACAGTAAGCTAGAACACTAGTTTACCCGGTCAAAGCGTCGACCAGATTTTAACTTCGGCTGTGAAGATTGGTCTGAATGCCAGCACTTTGCATCCTTGCTTAATTAGTTCGAATAAGAACTTGCAAGTAACATGTGGATAATTTTTAATACAAATAATAGAATTTGATTGTACCTAGAGCACCTCAAATGATAAGTTTGAGCCTGATCAGTTTCTGACTACTACTAAGACAAATTATTTAAACCCCCTACTCAAAGGCTTTTATAGCTGAAAGCATGGAAGTTGACTCTAAGGATAAAACTGCATATATTCACCTACAGTATTGAGAAATATTTATCAATAAGTAGGCACAAGCTACACAGATAGCTAAAATGACATGCTAATCTCCTCAATCAATCTACAAAAACAAGAACAAAGTAGGCCTTTGCCCACCACGTGAGAATGGCTAAAGCATCATATTGAGGCATTACAGTTGAAATTGCTGTATCAACTCCCCAAAATGAAATTTTAAGAAAAAAATCAAACAGAACCAACACTGTTTAAGGAGAATTAAGCAAAGGCAAAGGCAAGCAATCATATAAGGGAAAGAGGCCTCACATTGCCCACAAAGACTGATCGGGAATCTACTTCCTCTCGATTTGCCTGAGATGTAGCTGCAGCAGCTGGATCTAGTTGCATAGAAACAAACATTGATAATGACTCTTAATGCTTGTGTCTTCAATTAGATCCAACAACAAAAGATGAGCATGCAACTAAAACTAAAGCAAAGAAGATAGGTAATCATCTTGTAACAGCCACATTCCCACTGGATTCAACATTCCATACTAAAGCAAACGATGCCATATAAAAACTTAGCATATGAAAATTGAAAACCCATTAGAGATTTGCTTTCGATTCGAAAGCTTTGTTAGTATCTAAAAAACAGAAAAAGCCAAATGAGTGGATTTATCAAATAGTTTTACAATCACACATTGTAAACCAAAACCCCTTTTATAGGAATCCGCAAGAGAAAAAAAACGAAGTGCGTCAATGAAATGATTTTATTCAACGTAATAACTAAAAAAAAAAAAAACCCAAAATTGCAAAATGAAAAGGAGCACATTCAACCCACAAAAAGAAAAAAAAAAAAAAAAGAACCTTGTACGGAACCCATCTCCTTCTCGACCTTAGCTTGCATCTCGCGAAGAGCAGCAGCCTCTTCCTCCATCTCTTCTAACCTTCTTTTCATGTCATCGAGGTCCTGAAAATTTCTTTAAATTAGGCTTTCCTCAAAATAGAAAAAAGCCCTAAAACCAATAAAAATGTAAAATTACAGCTTCAGTGGATTCCCCAGCTGCCATGTCTACATCTTCTCCTTCCATCTCTCTTTCAATTGAATTGGGGTTTTGAAGAATAAATAAAAAAAAATCAAATAAAATTTAAGAACAGAAAGCAGCAGCTTGTCCCTTTGCTTTGCTGAGTTTTATTTTTACGGTGTTATTAGGGCTGAATTTTACCTTTCACCGCAACCTTTTTCTTGGGACAACAGATAATTAGGTTTTATTTTTTTTAAATACTTATTTTATTTATTAATGATAAAAAGCAAAAAAAAAAAAAAAGTTAATCCAAATTTTTTTATAACTGATAAATCACGTATTCATCTTTATATATTTTATATTTATTAAACATAAAATATAAAAATTACTATATCGTAATTTATAAAGCACATTAAATATAAAATATATTTTTTTAACTTTGATCAAATCCAACTTTTTTTTTCAATCATATAATTATTTATAGTATAAAATTGACAGGATTAAAATTTTGTATAGCAAATTTTATTTCCCCACCATCCAACATTATTGTGTATTTTAAAACTGAGTTATGGTTAGGGGTGTAGTCGAGTCAAATCAAGTCGAATAGCGAGAAGTTCGAGCTCAAATTTGACTCACAACTCGAAATTCGATATTCGACTCGAATTCGATCGAGTTTTATTTTTCAAGCTTAAGTTCGATTCATGATCGAATTCGAATTACTCGATTTCGTTCGATTAAGTTCAATTAATATGTAAAAATAAGCTCGATTCGTATACTCGACAAGAGTTTGATTATTCATGCTCGAACTTAGACTCGAAATATTTTATTAATTAAAATAATAAAAACATATTTAAATATAAAAGCTCGATTAGGTTCACGAGCTACTCGAGTCGGATATAAGAATACTCGAATTCGATTCAATCGATAAGTCGAGTTACTCGAACTCGATTCGATAATAATCGAATCAAATTCGAGTTTTCTTCGAATCGAACCCAAATAACTTACGAATACTAATGTATCATTTATACTTCTAATTATGGTGTAGATAGCAAACACGTTCCTACACGGCTACACCTATTTCCTTGATAATGTATATCCAATATATTTTAATTTACTCTACGCAAATTGTCCTATTCTGGACATGTGCTGGCTCGATCGATGAGCTTTAAAAATGCACAATTTCATTCAACATATATAGATCAGGATAATTTTACTAGAATTCCTGGTCTATAAATGTCTCTGCATAATTTACTTGAATTTTGTCTTTAAATTTGAATTAGGGTTTCTTTCAATTGACCAGATGTCAATCCATGAAGCTCTTGTTCAGTATATATAGATCAGATGTATGTAACAAGAATCAAAAAGTTAAGAAGAAATTTGAACTTACTCTTATTGGAGCATTGATTCCACTGATATAATCAATATTCCAAAGAAACCAAACAAGAAAAAAATACAAATAAAAAAATTTGACAAATTTACAAGCAAGGACCAAATCAATGAAATGAGTTCAAGTAACCTTTATTTTTTTCTGCTGCTTCACATACATATTTTGTAGAATATGCATTTAAGAAATAATAGTAAATAATTTAAATAAACATTTCAATTTAGAATTAAATAAATAAAAAACTTTATGTGCTTGATTTTTAAATAGAATTATTCCAAGTTCACGTTCTCAGTTTTTTAGCTTATAAACTTTTAAATTGTCTGAAATTATTATAAATGAAAAAAAAAATCATAACTACTGTTACATTCATATTAAATTATTCCCATTATGATATTCAAATTTACCTTATACGTGGTTTCATATCTATTATCTTTGCTTTTTATGGTAAAAAAATTAAAAGTAAAGGTGCTTATAGATCGAGTCAAGTTGGGTTCGAACTAAATTTATATTTGGTATTAATAATTCATATGCTTGTCAGCTTATATTAATTTGAAATTTCAAGTCTTAAAATTTTTTTGAAACCCAACTCAAATTAAAAGAATAAATTATAAGAACATACATTCAACTTAATTTATATAATAAAAAAATAAAAAAGTGATTAAATTACATTTAATAGGATTATATTCAATTTATATATATAAATTAAAACTAAAAATTATATACATTTCTTATATATATAATTTTTATTTTTAATTTATATATATGAATTAATTTACATATATAAATATATATATATGAATTCGGATTGAACAAGGTTGGACTCAGGCTTTAAATCTTTTGTTCAAGACCCAATTTGAAATTTAAATGAACCTATAATTATACTTAAGTTCATTTAATAGGTTTTAATTTTGTCTAAACTCTCTTAAAACTTAAGTGAACCTTCGAACTTTAGTGGGTAACTCGACCCTTAAATAAGTCTAATTAAAAGCTGCAAGTTTATTTAAAAAAAAAAAAAAAAGAACTGTCAGATAGAGGGAAAGGAATTAATAGATGTTACCATAAAACTTGACACATAAATATCTTCACTATAAAAAAACACAATTATCCAAATAAAATTAAAAGAAAAATTGGGAGAAAAAAAAAAAGCAAAAGAACAAAAGTTGCAAGATGATCAATAACAAAAATCCTAAAAAGAAAAAAAATTAATTGAAACTTTAAAAAATCCAATAAAAATAGCTTTCGCATACAATTTTTCTTTTAATTTTTTGCCCTGGACTTTGTTTTCGTCAAAGCTTTCTTCTTTCAAACTTCAATAATCCTACACTTAAAAATTAATATTCAATAATCAACAATTTCAACGAAAAAAAAACTTTGATATAACTTCATTTATTTAAAGAAAAAGAAAGGGAACCACAGAAACCTACAATTCAAAGCTTTGATATGAACTAAAAATTAAGATCAAATAAATATATAAGAATGAACAAAATGAGAAACAGTGAGAGGAAGAGAAAACGTGAAAAAGAAAAGAGAGATGGGTATTAATTTGATGTGGTAAGAAATAAAAGAAAAAATAATGAAGGAAAAAAGTTAATTTTTGAGCTAAAACTTTTTTTTTTATTTTTTGTTCAAATAAGGTATAGTTAAAAAAATAAAAAATGAAAAAAAATATAACAAAAGGTGATGTATAGAGTAAAACATAAGATATTGGGTAAATTACATATATATATATATATATCATGTGGTTAAATGCGATTTGAATTTGTTTCATAATATTTAAAATGTGACACTTAATTATCTTATGATTTGTTTTATTGTATTTTTATCCAAAACCATTACTTTTTTCCTTTTTTTTCATCTTTTTCATCTTTAATTCATTTTTTCTCTCTAAAATCATATTAATTTTTTTTATAAAAGTTATATTCAATAAAATTTATTTCCTCTAGTTTTCTTCTCTCTAATGCTTTAATTTTTTTTTGCAATAGCTTTTTCTCCCTAAGTTAAGTTCTTTGCTTTCTTTTTGGAATTATAAACTTAAAATCTTAGATTCTGTCAAAACTCGTTATCACCATCCATTGTGTTACCATTTTCAGCTGGTACTATTGTCTTTCGTCACCAGTGACTACCACCATAAACTATAAAAGAAAATTCCAATGATAAAATCAAAGAACTCATTGTGTTGCCACACCTTTTTTTGTCAGTAGCATCTTCTTCTCCTTAGTTTGAAAAGAAACCCTAAAAAACAACCAAACAAAAAATCATCGAAAAACTCTTTTTTACAAACCCAAAAAAGCAATCTCAAACCAAGACCCAAATTTTGATTTTGTTCTTGGATGTTCCTATTAATGGTGTTTTTTGGCTGTGATGATTGTTATTGGTTGAAACTTTTTTTTTTTTTTTTGCTTATTTGTTTGTATGCAAATTCTAGGTTTTGTGTCTTTTTAGGAATGAATTTTTTGTTATAAGAAATTGTATTAAATATCAAACAAATAACCAATTTCTCTTTGGTAGCTATACCAATTTCTAAGGACAACCATCAATAGAGTAAATTGTTTAGAAGAAACCCAGAAACAAACCTAGTAACCATAAAAAATAAAAAAAAACTTAGAGAACCCAACTTCACCTTAAATTACTCACACTTAGTAAACCCACAAAACAATCACAAATCTACGTAATAGCCACAATAATTCAACTAGGTTTTTTTTTTTCTTTTTGGGTTTTGGTTTGAATTTTTTAAGAAATTTTGGATTTTTAGAATAAAGAGGAAGAGGGAGAAAATCAACTAACAGCACACACCACAGTAGCATACTTTTCTAACATTTAATTCCCACTTTGTTAAAAATTATGAAAAATTCATACTTCAAATCCAATTTTTCTTTGAAAAGTTTGATTTTGAGAAATAGCAAACAAAAAAAAATTTGGGGAAAGAGTTATAGTTTATTGATTAAGCGTCAACAGTGTTAATGAAAACTAATTGAATGTCATATATACACATCTGTGGGTGGTTAAATGTCACTTTTTAAATCTTAAGGGATAAATTGAAATCTTGTTAAATCTCAGGGTATAATTATATAATTTATTCAAAGATATTTTGGTTTGATATTGAATTGATGTAGGAAGGAAAGAAAAAAGGGAGAAAGATTTGTTAAAAAAAAAAGAAGTAGATTTTTAATGTGGAACATGATTTCTTCGAGAATGGTAAAAAAAATCCAAATAATCAAATGAAAAAAAAAAAGAACATGAAAAATAAAGAAATATAAAGGGTTAGTAAGGATAGCAAACCAATCCATCGATTCGATTTAATTTTTTAGGGTTTTTTTTTTTAAATCGAATTTTGAATCGAGTTAGGTAACAATAAAAAAATTCAAGGTCAGGTAGACCTAACATATATAAATTTTTTTTTTGAATTAATTATTTAATTATATATTTTATATTTATATTAAAAATAATATTTTATATTTTAAAAATAATATTTTATTAATTTCAAGTCGAGTTAGATCTAATATAATTTTATATAATATTGAGTTGAATTTGGGTATTAAAAATAAAAAAAATCATTGAATCAAGTTTAGTTATTACAAATATAAAATTAGATTAGGTTTGAAGAGAGCATAAATTCATCTTGATCCGATCGATTGATTTTCCTAAAGATAGGAAAAGGCAAGAGAATTTATTTCTTTTGGCTTTTTTTATTTAAAATATTCAAAAAATTAAATGAAATAAATACTTGCTAAAAAAGAAAAGGAATGATTGGATGAAAAAGGTGAAAAAATATAAAATTGCCTTTGTCTTTGTCAAAGTAAAATAAAAATGAATATTTTAGAGGGTGAAAGATGGATGAATTTTAATGATATGATATAAATATGATGTGAATATAGAATAAAAAAATAATATGACTCAAATTTTTAATAATAATTAATTTAGGTTAATATGACTTAAATTTTTAATAATAATTAATTTAGATTTAATAAAATAAAAAAATATATTTTATATTTTTATGTCAACGTAAATTATAATATGTAATTTATATATAAAATATAATATAAATATATAAATTTTAATATTTAACATGATATAAATATATGAATCATCAATTTAAGATTTTTCAATCAACTTTGTTTACTTTTAGACTCAACCATCTAATAGTTTTTATTGATTTTCTATATATACAAAAATCGAAGCAAATCAATTGAAAATTTTGATTATTTAAAAAAAAAAAAAAAAAACACAAAATGGTGTATGCAGTCGGGAAAGGGGAGGCTCAAGGGCCCAGAAAATTTTGTGTGCATGGATAGGATTGGTAATGAAGATTCTGGTTGTTATCACTTTATCAATTAATCTTCCCAACCGTTTCCAGACAAGGGAAGTGCTTTTCCTACGGTTTCCCAATAATATGTCGATTGAGTCACACATAACCCCTTTCAAACGTTTACTCCAGAGTCCAGTCATTAACTCTTTTTCTTAGGGAGGCGGTTCATCCCGGATCTGAGGTTTCTGGGTTTTATAGAGCAAATAACAAAAGAAAATTGAAAAAGAATATAGTTTCACAGTTGGAGTAAACGTTTGAGAGAGGTCATGGGAGACTCACCGCTGTAAACAGCTGTAAACAGCTGTCAACATGTTATTGGAGAACCTTAGGATTATGAATAGGACATAAAGCATCTATTTTCCGTGATCCAGATAAGACAAACAACACTACAAAATTGAACTCAAAGGGGCAGCTTATCTGGTCTTCAGACATTCCTGAGGGTGAAACCAATGACCCAATTTACTGCTGTGAGATTAAAAGGCATTCTTCTTCTTCTTTTTCTCTAAATCTTCTAGTATTTTCTTGTTAATTTCCAACAATCCTGGTGATCAGCTGTAGCCTGTAGGCAACACCGAGATATGTTGAAGCCTTTGGCTGAAACGCTTAGCTCCTCGTGCTTTGGGTCTGGTGTAGGAATACACCATGTTCACTTCGCAAAGCAACGTTACCTTAGAAGGTGAGTTTCGTATAAATTTTGCGTGCAACTGTCTGAGCCAATTGATTTTGGTTTACTCAAAACGTTTTCTGGATTACGTATGATAATGTTTCTATGCTGTACAAAAATGCTTGCCAATGCACCTTTGGAGTTTATCACTTATATTATGTAACAAATTCTCAAATCCTTAAATTTTTGAGGAACTGCATTGGAATTAATGACAACATGGGCCTTGCTTCGCTTTAATTTGCTAGTGTTTGAAAGATGCTTAGTGTCTATCACTTCCTTACATGATTCATTTGCTTTACATCCCCTCTTCACCTTTTCCTAGGGTGTAAGAACATGGAGAGAGAGAGAGTTCTTGGCCTATGTCTCTACATTCACTTGCTTTATATTTTCCTGATCAGGTCTTGTGAAGGGGAGAATTTTCCAAAAACTTTGGGAGGATCATTGCATTTCTGTTCTAATGATCGAAATTTTTTCCAAATTAGAAGATTAAACATCAGGTGCCCGAACAGACAGCAACATATTTTTCCCAAGTGTACATCAGACATTCCTGACAACACCCATCAAGAGGAGACAGATGTTTCTCAAGCAACCTTGATATGGAGGGCAATTAAATTGCCAATTTACTCTGTTGCTTTGGTTCCTCTAACTGTGAGTTTCTTCAACACATGGAAGTCTTATCATAATGAACAAGTTTATTCCCATTAGCAACTTGGTATTTTTTAGATTGTGTATCAATTCTATCTTAAGAGTTACTAGGTAGCCTTTAAGGAATCCAGTGTGGGAATCTTGATCGACAATTGGACATGATAAAAAATGTTTAAGCTAGTAGATATCAGTCTCCTGTTTACAGCAGTTTATCCATCTAATAATTATTTCACAGACTTGTAACGTTCCATAGTTTTCATACCGTTTATGCTTACTCATGTGTAAAGCAATTGGGCATTATTGTATAACTAATGGAAGCAGCTGCATGTCATGAAGGCATAAAGTATGGATTTTGCTAACACTACAACTATAGTTGAATGAAGGACGAGGAGTCAATCCATTCATCTTGATAAATGACTTCCCAGTATGGGTAGCTTAATATTTGCTGGGAAGTTCCTCAGTTTTCATTTCCAGCTTGGTTTTTACCTAATTTACTAATTAATTGGAAGATAATACTTTCAACCTGCCTTATCAAGTTATCAATATAACGATTCAGGATACGAGCAGAACTAACGGTGGACCACTTAACAACATGCACCAAGTAACATAATCAACTTGACAGACAGCCTTAATTTTGTCAGAATGCACTTGACCCCTTGATTTTAATGCAGTCTCAAACATAAGTGCCTAGAGCATTAGCCAATATCATGCATCAGTTCAAGCAAAAAGTTTGTATTACTGTTCACCTTGTATGTTGCTACCACAGACAAAGTTCTAAAATTCTTGATTTTTTCTCTTTTGCTGCCCCGAGATATAAATGTTTGATAATCCACAAATGTACTTCTGTGCAATCTTAATGCAATACAATTTTGTGTGAATTACCATTGTTTATATTTTTGAGCAGGTAGGTGGTGCAGTGGCTTATTTGCAAACTGGTTTGTTTTCTGCTAGGCGTTATATTATTCTCTTGGCTTCTTCAGTTCTTATTATTACTTGGATCAATTTAAGGTGAGTTATGGTGGTGGACACTTGATTCTCAGCAAGCTTTTAGGTTGCTAAAAGTTTCAAATTTTGTCAATTTGCAGCAATGATGTCTACGATTTCGATACAGGTGCAGATAAGAACAAAAAGGAGTCAGTAGTAAATTTGGTTGGCAGGTAACTTGATGCTTTGCCTATTGCCAACGTCTGTATCTTCTTTCATTTGTTTAGTAACTTTTCCTGTTTTCTGATGAAAATAAAACTGTTCTGTAATGTGCTTGGAAAGTCGTTCCGGGCCCCTTATTGCTGCATACTTGTCACTTGCCCTTGGCTTCATGGGGCTGACTTGGGCATCTGTAGATGCAGGAAATATGCGTTCATTATTGCTACTGGCTTGCGCAATCAGTTGTGGTTATGTATATCAGGTAGAGTGATTCTAAGTGCAATAATAGCACCGATCATACAAATCAATTTCCAACAATTTTCTCATTTAAGGGGCATGCGTGCTGCACATAGCAGGTTCTGATATATTTTTAACATTGAATCCATTGCAGTGCCCACCATTTCGGTTAAGTTACCAAGGATTAGGAGAGCCCTTGTGCTTTGCAGCTTTTGGCCCATTTGCCACTAGTGCTTTCTACCAGTTGCTGGGCAGCAAACGGTTGTTTACTCAAAGAGAATGCAGCATTTTTAGATTCATTTTTTTTCCGTTCAATACATTAATTTTGGGCAATTTTGGCAGTGAGATAATCTTCCTCCCCTTAACTCGCATAGTTCTTTCTGCGTCACTCCTCTTAGGCTTGACAACAACCCTTATTCTGTTTTGTAGTCATTTTCATCAGGTTAGTTTTTTTTTCTTAGTCCTTTGTATTAAGAAAATTTGCATTCTCACCATAGGTTTTGTATGAATGACATGAATGCTGTATATATTTCAGGTTGAAGAAGATCTTGCCATTGGGAAAATGTCACCTTTGGTATGTACACTCAATCAAGTCTCAGGGTTTTCTGTGTTACAGAGGGAGATTTTTTTTTTTTTTCCAATTGCAGGTCAAGATGGGCACTGAGAGAGGTTCGGTAGTTGTGAAAGGGGCAGTCTTGACACTCTATTCTCTTTTATTTGCTCTTGGTCTATGCAGAGCTCTTCCACTAACTTGCATTGTAAGTAGAAGTTTAAATTGGTAGAGAGAAATACAATGCATTTCATCTAATTGATTATGCTCAAATGGTAAAAAGTTCATAAGTATGCTTATTGCATCTTCTATGCTTCTGTTTGGTTTTATCAGGTTCTCTGTGCCTTGACCTTACCTATAGGAAAACTGGTAGTTAGCTTTGTTGAAGAGAACCACAAGGTAAGTAGTGAACTTGCACGTTAATCTCAATGTTGGTAATGGAGATTACCCCCAAAGATGTAAAAGAGAAGACTGTGAGATCCTGTTTCTTATGACTAGTTGCACCACTTGGCTCATTTTTTGGTATAACCATGTGGACTTCAACGCCTAGACGAGTCGCATATCCATTGATTTTCTTACTATTTCCTTCAACTTTTTTTTTGATATTTTTTCCTTACAAGAATTCTTTCTTACAGGACAAAGGGAAGATCTTCATGGCAAAATATTACTGCGTAAGATTGCATGCTTTATTTGGAGCTGCAATGACTGCAGGGCTGGTATTAGCTAGGATGCTTGCTAAATGATATGTTCTGAGGTTGACACTCTCTTTCGGTACATGCCTCCTCGCGAGTATATTGAGGGTTTTTGCCACCAACAGCTTGCGTAGTCTGTAGTCAATGACAAGGTATCAAATTTGACAAGAAGCTGTAGATCGCCATTTTCCAATTGCCAGTTCAAGAAATCGAATTTATAGCCAAATAACTACCTTAAGGAGATGATCATCCCTTTTGCTCATGCCATGTTAGAATCAACCTTTCTATTTCACCATTTTCATTTCTACAAATCATTATGTTCAGCACGACATAATAAGAACAATGGTTCAGCCAACAGTTAATAACCATTCGGCTATAATTTAAACATAATTGAACTGATTTTCCCAGGCCAAAGGAGCACATTCACAGGCAAAGGATACCTTACCACATAAAATAACACATAATAGGTAGAATATCAAGCTCAACATTCACAAAAATCTAAACCAAGTCGCAGTATTAAAACAGCATAACAACATTGAATATTGAACAAAATCATCACAGCATATAGCACTACAAAATCTGAGTACTGACAAGATCCATGGTTTATCAAACTTCAAAAGAAATCTAAGCCGCAACAGAAGGCTTAGAAGCAGCAGAGAGCTTGGACCTCCTCTTTGCTAAACTCTCACTACGGCGCTCCCGTTGCTCCTTCAACCTCAGGGCAAGCAATTTCTGATACTCAGCTGCCTCTGCCTTGGCCTTGGCAATTCTCTTCTTCTTATCTGCAATTCTAGCACGCTTCCTCTGGAGTGTCAATGGTGTTACCAGCCTCTGGATTTTTGGAGCTTTACTGACCTTCTTGCCTGCAAATCAAAGAAATGGTTATAAATAACAGTTTCAACAAAGAAATCACTACTCCCACCAAGCCTCTCTAATTCCAACCCTGATACAATATCCAATACCCTTACTTCCTGCATGCTCCGCATATGAATAATTGAAAAACCAAAAACCATTTTTAACTCCATTAGGAGAATTGGCAATGGGATGGGCAAGTGAGGCATGCAGATGCAATGCACATAATTACCTTTTAACAATGTTAGAAGCTAAAGACCTAGAATTTTGGTTGGAGACATTCAGAAGGATTATAGTCATAGGAGAATATACAGTGGCTCACAAAAGGAAGCCTCACCAATTTCAATCAATTACTTTGCACTTTAAGCACTGTGCTATTATCTAGAAATAAATTTATATGTTACCATTTCACAATAAGCAAAGAACTGGAGAATGCCAAAGTAGCTATGGGAACATAAAGCATCCACCTAGTTTATTACATCTTGTGGGCATCTTTATTACAAAAGAAAGTCAAGGAAGAAAAAGCAACTTTACCAGATTTCGTGGTGAAAGTCCTCCGGTAAGTGTTGACATACTTCCGGACATCATCTTCTTTGGAAAGGTTAAAGAGCTTTCTAATCTTGGATGCCCTCTTTGGACCTCTCATCCTTGGTTTTTCAGTGTCAGTCAGCCCAGGCAGATCATTCTCACCCTTCTTCACTATAACCAAGTTCAAAACAGACAGGTCTTGGCTAACAATGCATCCACGAACGGACTTCCTTCTGCGCTCTCCATTACGTCTTCCATATCCACGGAAGCATGGGGTACCTGCTCAAGCAATAAAAATGAATCAATTTCCAGTTATGCAGAGGAAGACATGAATGAAGGCTCAGAAACTGACTTTCCAATCCACAAAAGGTTAGTGGAGCAGTGAGACGCCAAGCAACAGAGAACAGTGGTAAGTAAAAAAAAAATCATCAAATACTTGATTAAACAGCACAAGCAGAATTAGCATAAAAATTCTGTTCAGAAAACCATCCTTTTCAATTTCTTTATATTCTCTAATTCCATCTTGCACAATCCAAAGCAACTGGACTATGGAAAATGTCTTGTATAGAATGCTCAGCAGACAGCTCACCTCTATGAAGCAAGAGGCGAACCCGACCAGGCGTCAGAACACCCTGCTTCATTGGGAATCCTTGCTTGTCGCATCCTCCCATGATCTTGAAAACGTAGCCCTTGAATTCCTGTCAAACAAATGGAAAGTTATATCAAGTCGAACAGATCAATCTAACTTCAAAAAGAGACTAAGAATGCAAATATGTAATCACATACCTCGCCCAAAGCATCTCCAACAACCTCCTGGGAGATCCTCTTGTCAAAAAATGCCCGACTGTCACATTAAAAGAACACCAATATCATTAATTACAAGAGGCAATTTAAGTAAATTTCAAGAACTCAGTTAACTCCTAGACTCTGTGCTATTTCCAACCAACAGTTCAATCTTCGGATTTCTCATTGCATTTTTTATCTTTTTTTTTTTTTTTGCGACTTTCCCAACAACCAAACAGATATAAATGTAAAGAAACAAAAACAAAACTTACAGCTTCTGATCGTCATCGATTTCAAGCTTCTTCTGGCAACCAGTGGTCGGATTCGCGATATTAAACTGCATAAAAAGTCACATAAAATTAAAAAAAAAAAAAAGCGGCAAGGGAGAGATTTGTGTCTCAAATTAGGGTTTCTTTTCTCTTTTTTTGGTGCGTTTGTTTCGTACCTTCATTTCCGGATCAACTTTCGCTGCTGCTCAAAAACAGAAACAGCTGAGTGTGCGAAAGAGAAACGAAATTAGGGCTGATAAAATCATGCATTGTATAGGAAGTGGGTGGTTCTCGGGCTTTAAATGGGCCAACTTTCTTTGGGCTTTGACATGCATAAGTCTTTTTTAGGCCACATTGACACAGCTAAGTCCAAGTAATCAAATTCTCTCCTTTTTTTTTTTTTTCTATAATAAATACAAAACAGCGTATGGCTTGAATACACGGAGGAGATTCATTATCAAATATCAAAGTCTCTCGTTCCCTTAAGTTTTGAGACTTTGCAAGTAAGGTTATAAAAATAAACATTTTGTTAAGATATTATTAAAAAATAAAAAAATTATTTATATATAAAAATTTATAAATTAAAATTAAATAATCATTTAAGTTTATATCATTTTATTATAATAAATTAAATCTTCAATCATTTATTTTTATTTAATTAAATTTTTTATTGGACGAAAATTAAATAAGGATTGCCACTAAGTTTTATTTAATAAAAGATTCAATTAAATAAAAATAAATATTTAAAATCTAATTAAATGAAAATAAATTTTTAATAATTAAATTAAATGAAAATAAATATTTGGTTGTTCAATTAATTAAAAAATATAAAAGTTAAATAATTATTCAATTTAAATTAAAAGTTTTGATATTTAATCTAAAAAACAAAATTATGATAATTTTTAATCTATTTATAAATTTAAAAAATTACACAAACGATATATATTAAAAATAAATTGATAAAATATTTATCCAATTCCTTCGTTCTCGTAGATTTCGAGGTTAACCTTTCGGTGAAAAATAGCAACTTCTTGATTAATTAATTGCATCCACATCAACCAATCAATCAATCAAACAAACGTGAAGCAATCACATTCTCTCTTCCTGTCCATCGAATCTTCTCACTTCTTTTTATATTTTTGCTCATTTTATTATTTTTTTTTTTTTGAAAAAGATGACACGGTTTCTAGTTAAAGAAAGGAAGAGTTTTACTTTGTGTAAAATTAAAAAAAATTTATATATTTGTTAATTATTAATTTAAATAGATTTAAAAAATTAGATTAAATTATTTTTTATTTTTTAAATTATTAAAATTAATAATTTAAAATATTTTTAATTTTATATTATATAATTTAATTTTTTAAATTAAATAAAAAAGGAAAAGAGAAAAAACACTACTACTATACTAGTATAAATTAAAATAAAACTGTTTAAACATACAAACCATCAATTTTCATAAATGAACATTATGCTTAATAAACTCATTAAAATTTTAAATTAAAATCTCATTATTTTATTTAATTTTTGAATCAATTGATATAATATTAGAGTTAATATTTAAAAATTATGAATTTGAAAATATATATAATATTTTATTCAATTAAATAAGTAATAAATAAAAAATTTAAAAATAAATTAGAAGCTTCAAAACCTTATTGTTTAATTCCTAAAGCACTTTAACACTACGATAAAAAAAGTAAAACAATAAATTAGAAAAAAAAGCCACCATATAAAGTGAAAACCAATTAAAAAAAGAGGTCAAAATAGGAAAAAAGCAAAAACAAGCTCTTGGCTCCAGTATAAAAAAAGGCATCAAGGCAAGCCGCTTTCCCATTTCTCGTCTCAAATCTCAATCCCTCGAAAATCCTCTGAACTTTCCATTTCCATTCTAACGTCACCCATAGCCATGGCCACCCCTTCCCCACGTGAGGAAAACGTCTACATGGCGAAACTCGCCGAGCAAGCGGAGCGCTACGAGGAGATGGTCAACTTCATGGAAAACGTCGTCTCCTCCGTCCCCGCCCCCGACGAACTCACCGTCGAGGAGCGGAACCTCCTCTCTGTCGCGTACAAGAACGTGATTGGCGCCCGCCGTGCCTCTTGGCGGATTGTTTCCTCCATCGAGCAGAAGGAGGAAGGACGTGGTAACGCCGACCACGTCTCCATCATCCGCGAGTACAGGACTAAGATCGAGGCCGAGTTGTCCGATATTTGTGCTGGAATTTTGAAGCTTCTCGACGAAAAACTCGTTCCGGCCGCCGGGAACGGGGATTCCAAGGTTTTTTATCTGAAGATGAAGGGAGATTACTACAGGTACTTGGCTGAGTTCAAGACTGGCGATGACAGGAAAGCCGCTGCCGAGAATACGCTCACTGCGTATAAATCTGCTCAGGTTTGTGGGCGTTTTCGTAATTTCCTTTTCGATCCTATGCATTTCTTTGCCTTGTTTTGTTTAATTTTAAATGTGAATTATGATGAATATCTGTTTAATTTTATGAATCTGGTTTATGTTTGATTTGGGGGTAATCTAGTTTATTGATCTACATTTACAGTTATGCCCTTGATGTGTTGCTTATTTCTTTACGCTGAGATCGGGATCTGCTTTGAATTGCCTAGAAAATTTATGAATTTATGGAAACATAAGATCCAGAATTTTGCCATTGATTAGGAAACATAAGCGCCAGAAGACATGACATTGAATCACAATAGAAAATTTATGGAAATTAGCTAGAAAAACTGTCTCAATGATATGGCTTTTGGATTAGCTTTATATATATATATATATATATATCTGTTCTCCATATGTGTGATTTAACTGCATAGCTGAATTTCTTGTTGTGTCCAAGGAAAATTGTGTATATCTCTGAAGTTCTGAACCACAGTCACTCCTCTTAGCCTTCTCACGACGGAAATTCAGAAATTCCTTATGTGGTTTGTATTAATCCAATTCGTACAGTGTAATATCCGGTGGTTTGCTTTACTG